ACAGAGATCCTATACTTTATGAAATAGTATGCAAGAATAATGCAAGAAGAATGCGGCGAATTAAATATTATATCGCATGTATGAATAATGGAAAATGTAGTAAGAAATACCCTCACAAATTGGTCAAGGATACTCAAACTGGAGATGATGGTTATCCGACTAGCCGACGGAGATCACCAGATGATGGAGGTTATACTGCAATATTAAAAGTTCGTGGTCAAACAGAAATCGTGGTTAACAACCGTTGGGTTGTACCGTATTGTCCAGTGCTATCTCTAGGTGCTTTAATGCGCATATTAACGTAGAATACTGTCATTCGGTTAAAGCGAAAAAATACATATGTAAATATATTAATAAAGGATCAGATAGAGCTACTTTTTCTATTAATCGTGAAAACGATGAGATTACAAATTATTTGAATGGTCGATACATATGTATTTCTGAAGCGTTTTGGAGAATTTTCAATTTTGAAATCCATGATAGAGATCCGATAGTTCAGCACTTGGCTGTTCATCTAGAAAATGGACAGCGTGTTTTCTTTAATGCTAATAATCTTCATCAAGTTATTGAAAATCCAAGAAAAAAGACACTAACTGCATTTTTTGAACTGTGTTCACATGATGATTTTGCGAAAACACTGTTCTATCATGAAGTTTCTTCTTATTATACCTGGAATGATAGCAGAGGCTGGTTAAAGAGAAGACGGGGAAAAGATGTTCCAGGTTGGCCAGGAATAAAAATGGACACTGCCATTGGTAGAATTTACACGATTCACCCAAATCAAAGTGAGTGCTTCCATTTAAGATTGTTACTAAATTATGTACAAGGTTCTACTTCATTTGAAAGCTTGAAGGCTTTTGATGGAGTCATTCACGCGACTTTTAAAGCTACCTGTTTTGCTCTTGGGCTTTTAGAAAATGACGAGCAATGGAAAAATGCTCTAGCGGAGGCAACTCTTTCAGAAAGTCCTTCAAAATTAAGAGAATTATTCGCAATAATCATAGTTTTCTGCTAACCGTCTGAACCTCAATCTTTGTGGGAACAGTTCAGAAATGATTTTTAAGAAGATATTCTTCATACAGAGCGCACTCGATTAAATGACTTGCAATTTACTTTTTCTGATGAAATATTTAATAGAGGTTTGATTGAAATAGAAGTTGTTTGTCTGTCTGAAAAATATTTAACTGAATTTGGAATGAACTCACCTGTTCGAAATGAAAATGCATCTGATCCTTTGGAATTCTCAATTTTGCGTTTTTACGATAATAACCGATTACAAGAATTTGTAGAAATCAATTTACCAAAATTAGTAAATGATCAAAAATATGCTTTTAATGTTATTACAGAAAGCGTAATGAATCATCAAGGAAGAGTTTTTTTTTAGATGCTCCGGGTGGTACAGGAAAAACATTCCTAATTAATTTGTTGTTGGCTCAAATTAGATCCTCAGGTAAAGTTGCATTAGCAGTAGCTTCATCTGGTATAGCAGCAACTCTCCTTAGTGGCGGCAGAACTGCTCACTTGACTTTCAAGTTACCTTTAAATGTATTATTTGATACAGAATACGTTTGTCCGATTCGTAAAAATGACCCTCTTGAAAAAATTCTTCAAGAAACCTCATTCGTTGTGTGGGATGAGTGTACAATAAGTCACAGATCACATATCGAAGCAATTGATCGAACATTAAAAAATCTTAGGTGAAATAATCAGTATATGGGTGGCATAACATTTGTTTTCGCTGGTGATTTCCGTCAAACCTTACCAGTAATCCTTAAAGGTACTCGAGCTGATGTCGTTAATGCTTGCTTAAAATCTTCCCCTATATGGAATTATGTTGAAAAACTTTATTTGCGAACAAACATGAGAGTTTATTTATGCGGAGGGGACGATATTTTTCCAGCACGGTTGTTGAAAATTGGAAATTGAACTTTAGAAAATGAAAATGGTTACATTGCTGTCAATCACACGATTGGACGGGTGGTCAATAACGTGGAAGAGTTGATTTCTACAGTTTATCCTGACATTTTTAATCTGTCCAATAAATCTTATCAGTGGTTATGTGAAAGAACTATTATCTCTCCGAGAAATGTAACAGCAGGAGAAATTAACGATATCATCCTTATAAAATTCGATGGACACTCACGTGAATATCTATCTATTGCTACAGTTACATCAACAGATGATGCTATTCATTATCCACAAGAATTTCTCAATTCCCTTTCTCCTTCGGGGTTTCCTCCTCATAAGCTAAAAATTAAAAATTGGTGCTCCAATTATATTATAACGTAATCTTCAACCACCGAACTTATGTAACGGTACAAGATTACAAATAAAATAGTTGCAAAATAATATTATAGAAACCGTAATTCTTACAGAGCCAGCGAAAGGAGAAATTGCATTTATTCCAAGAATTTCCATGATTCCCTCCGACTTGCCGTTTTCTTTCAAACGGCTTCAATTCCCGGTTAATGTTTCTTTTGCCATTACCATAAACAAAGCGCAAGGTCAAACATTCAAGTACGTTGGCGTAGATCTTCGTACAGAAAGCTTTTCACATGAGTAATTATACGTGGCATTTTCTCGAACTGGGAACCCGAATCATCTTATGATTTTAATTTCAACAGGAAATTAACAAAAAACATCATATACTCAGAAGTCTTATAAAATTCTTATTTTAATTCTTTTTTTTCTTTTTCTTTCTTCATCAACTTCAATCAAATTCTTAAATTCTTCAACCATAAATTATTTCTCTTTTATCTGTATTTATTTTTATCATTTATAACGCTAGAAAAATTTCAATCCGTTTTCATTAACCCTTTTTTATATTTACTTGCCGATCTCATTAAACAATAATATTTGAATAAAAAATTCTACATATCATGGTCCGAAGGCAAAATAAACAACCAATCACGGGCGAAGCTGTGACGGGTCGGCTAGTCTATATATAAATTGGAGGTATCTGTAAATTTCTCATAAAATGTGGTTTAAAATCATGTTTTAATTCACTGCATTGCAGATTTTATTGACTTTTTATACACCCGACGATAAAATTTTTAATTCGAAACCGGTCGTACTTTAAAAATATAATAATAATACTTCAGACTGAGCAATTATTAAATAATTAACTTATTTATTTCTATACATAACTATTTCTGTGTTTAAATTAGTTATTAGTAACTTATAACTGTTAAGAATTGATAGAAAAAAAAAAAAACGTAACCTTATGATGAAATGATTCATACGAATAAATTATTGTTTAGCAATATTGGAAAATTAATAAAAAACTAAAGCGTATTTTTAACAGGGACTTACATTTTCTGGAGGGTTTAAGTCCTCAAAGTTCCCCAAATATCCTTTTATATTAATAATTTTTATAGGATGTGTTCAAGTGTTACTACCATGTTTTTAATCAACATTAAAAATTATATTATTAACTAAATCATTACTATAATCAGTGGCATGAAGGGGGGAGAGGTTCAACACTTCACAAATTTTAACAAATATTTAAAATTTTAATAACATTTAAGTATAAATTTCATAAACTTCCACCGAGATTATATTATCTATTCCATGTTTTTACTTCATAATAAAAGCACGTTTTGTATTGAATTAAAATTTTCACATGAGTAAAAAATGCCATTTATAATTTATTTGTTAATAAATTATTGCAATGTCACTATGTTCAGCTGTTGTTCTATAGATAACTGTATTCATGACATCTACATATACTTATTTATCGAGTATGTGTAATTTGCTGCATTATTACATAGGTATATAAATGTAAAACATCCATACTGCAATACAATTTACTTAATGTGCCTATTGGATACTAGTTAACTTGTATAAATATAAGACAAAATGTATAAAATTTGTTGGTATCAGTAGAATAGGCAAATTGTGATAACTGAAGAGACAATTTTTCAACTTAACTATAAATATTTGCAGAATAATATTTTGTATAGGTCTGTGATAAAGTCTGTTTCTCAACTAGAGGTCATATGTGTAATTTGGAAAATCTTTTGTGTGCTTAGCACCCTCGAATTGGTTCATGTTAATTTACATTTAAAGTCATTATTAATTTAGTATAGAAAAAAGCATAGTTTTTATTGAATTATTTATATATTTATGATTTAAATATAGGTGGAGGAAGTTCATTCTTCAGTCCTTGGATTAGATAAGGTTAATGGATGTATTGAGTTTTAAAGAATTGATAACTTATTTCTTCAGTAAAACGATTTACTGTATAATTGTTTTAAAGTATTTTACTAGAAGTTAAGAAAAACTTTATAAAAAAGTTATACAAATATATTTTATTTAAACAATATTTTAACACAACTTAGATTTATTCAGAATAAATAATACTGTACATAAGGCACATAAGTAGTGTACATTAAATGTATTGTACTAATTAATTATTTTATTATATTACATAATTTAATGATAATATTAAAACTATTTTGATTATCGTTTTGATTATACATATAATAGAAAAAATAATATACTTTGGCATCAATTAATAATTAAAAAAAAAAAAAAAGCATAATATATTTGTGCAATTGATAAGTCAAAAGTGTAAAGGGAGGTTCAGGAATCTATTACTATCTTAACAAATAGTTGAATTACTCATAACCAGGGTTCATAACTTATAGCTTTAAAAATGGTAGTTATAAACGCTATAATATGCTCATAAAAATTTTCATATGTGTTTATATAATTGCACTAAAAATACAAAAGTATGCAAAAAAAATATATCACGTAAAAAAAAAAAATTTCAAAATCTAATTATTAAAATACCGATCGCGTCGCTATATGATATAAATAAATATATAATTTAAACTTTTGAAACTAATGAACATGAGTTAATTATAAATATAAATAATTAATACTACTATAATTACTTGTTATTATTAAGAAATAATGTTTTAAATGTTACGGAACTGAAAAAGACTTAAAAAAGCAAAATAGCTTTTATACTTTAAAATATGTAAAAATATGCAACATAAAATTTCGTATTTAGCTTTTTAGTTATCTGAAACAAAATTATAGCTCACATAGATATTTCTTGGGCCTCTAAAAAAAAAAATATGCAATTGCTATAAGTTATGGGCCCTACTCATAACCATCTATGGGAGGTTAATAATTTATGAAGTTATTAAAATACAGGAAAAATCATTTAATATGAATAATTGTAAGTAATGTATATGTACTATATTTATATGTTGTAGTTAGATTAGAAAAATCTAATCAGAATTTAAAAATTGTGCAAGTTGATTTTTAGGTTTCATTATAATTATAATAATCCATCCTAAGACTGCTCCATAACACCGACAACAATTTAATGCTTTCCAAGTCTCTGACACCTTGGCTTCAACTTTGCTACCAGACATAATAACTGTATCATATGTAGTGCATGCAAATGCAGCTAAAGCTGTTAATACACTCAAGAATAACACCTGTAAAACACACATATAATAAATAATAATTTCAATGATTAAAATTTCTTTGAAAAATTATTCAAATCCAGTAACATTATCAGAAGTTAATTCATAAAGAATGTTTATTTTGTTAAACTATTTATTTTTTAAATATAAATTTTAATTTTTAGCCACAAAATATAAAAAAATTATTGAGACCAAATTACTTAATATTTATTACTATGACTCTGATTTAAATGCCCTAAAAATATCAAAAAATGTATCATTTACTAAATAAATTCAAATTATTATTAAAAAATGAGTAAAAAATGAAATTTTATTTACAATTACACTACAAAAAATAAAAATAAATTAAAATCAAAAATTGAATTAAAAATTAAATTACATATTAAAATTGCACTGTACGATTAGTATTTATTTTAAGTTTTGGAATTTGAATGATCGACGGTTATCTGCCAATAAGTTTTTATATACTGAAAATGAGAAAATTGAGAAAATACAAGGAAAATTATTGAACAGTGACAGCTATCACAATAGCAAGATGTAGCTATAGGTATCCTTTTAAGAGTAAGATTTAGGGTACAGAGCAAGATTCATAATTACTTACTACAGTAAGTAATTAAGAATCTTGGAAAATGGAAATTATTATTTGTCAGCAATGATGGATCTTTATGACTCAGAAATATCTATGTAATTACTTATGACCAGGGCTCGTAAGTTCATGCATTTACATATCAATCTTGCAAAGTTGTATTTAATGCTAGATGATATAGAAATACATTTCAAGGTACCACAGTTAAATATGTGAAACCTTATTTTGCATGTTTTTGCATATTTGGCATGTTTTTGTATATTTGGCATATTTCTATTTTATAAGGCATATTATACAACAATCTATTAAAAATCTAAATGGAAAATATATATAAAATTAAAAATAGAAATTGTGTTATCTTTTCTTTTTTTATCTTCTTGATACTCATACATTTAATAAATAAATTTTTTTCAAAAATTTCAGATTTAAAATTAATTACAAACAAAGACAAACATTATACGCAGCTCATGAAGGCTCAAGAATAGTATTAAATAGTATTAAATAGTATTTAAAATCTATTTTTTTTTTTAATTGTGACATAAAATAATAAAGTATAGCTAAAAAAAAAAAAAAATGAATGGATTTTTCATGTTATTTCAAAAATGATTTATGACTTTTTTTAAGTAAGCATTTGTTAAATCTGTAATTTTAGATATTTAATGCATATTTTTCAATTTTTTAAGGCATATTTTGCTAATTTTAAGTACATAGATGCATGCTTATTTAGGCATGAACTTACAAACCCTGGTAATGACTACAAATTATAACCAATAATCAATATGTTGGATCAAAAAGCACATATATTAAAAAAAAAAATTTCTCAACAAATATTTGTACGTTACATAATATTAATTTAACATTTCTTAATGGCTACTTTTTACTTATCTTTCTTTTAAACACAATTTTTTCATTGAAAACAAATATTAATATGAGATATTTCAATAATAACGGGTATTATATATATTTTTTATTTAATTAACAAAAATTTTTTAAAACCAAAAAAAATCAAATACTAAAATTGTGAGCAGTACGACACACTTTGTGCAATTCGAAATATTAAGTGTGTAGTACAAAATTTAAAAGCGTGTTGTGGTTCTATTCTTTATACTCACCTATTATGACATTTGATTTTAATTTTACATTTTTTTTTATTAAATTATTTTACATATTTTTAAAATTTCAAGATGAACGAGTATCATCAGCAAAATCGAAAATACTAACTATTTTAACGGTGTTACTCAATACTGTTAACGTTTGAAAAGGGAGTATGACAAAATCCTTAAGTGTGCCATACGAAAAAAAATATATTTTAGCCTCTGTGGTAAATAACAATCAGTAGATGTAAATACACAATGTAAAAAAATATTTATTTAATTTAAAATAAAACAAGAGATAATTGTTAGTGTATTATAAATAAAAATTCAATTAAATTAATTTTTTTTAAATTTATGATATTTTAATAAGAAAACTTTAAAATTATTAATAGAATATGAAGAAGTAAGATTTTTATAATATTAGATATTATTTTTATAGAATTATACATTTTATGTGTTCATAATCAATTTTACTTCTGTTATTATAAATGTGAATAGCATTTTATTTTAAATTTATACTTACTAAAATATATTTTGGTTTGAAGCTTTCACATTTGTACAAATCAAAAATATCCAGAACTGTACACATACATATAGTTGATAGAAGAAAAAATGACATCAATATCAATGGTGATCGCTGGGATGCTTCACCTAAAAATAATTGTGCTAGTGCTAACCCTGCTAATAAACCTTGGCTAACAATGCCTATTGATGCAAATATTCTTTGAACTCTGGCAGCAATAGGACGTAAATGATAGTTGACTGAGGAAGGTGGATTATTTATGTGATTAAATAAATCCTGTTGTTCACTTTTTACAAAACGATTCTTGTCTTGAACATAAATAATAATTTTATTGGAATCATGGGTGCTTGTTGGACGTATTGGGTTTGATAATGGACTTGTTGAAATATGGACATCATCCTTGACTTCTTCTAATATAGCTGAAACTGTATTGCGATTGGAATCCATTTTATTAAGAATTACATCACCTAATTAACAAAAAACAAAAGATCAAAAGAAATATATTAAAAATTATTTAATAAATAAATAAATAAACAAATAGTTTATATATATATATATATATATAAAATTAAATAAAAGCTTAGCCCTGTCATTATTTTATTAACTGTATATACCTGATTATGAATTTTTAATTTGAAACATGTTGTAATTTACAAATATAATAGTACTTCAGTCTAAGCTTTTAATTATTTATTTATTTTTATATATAAACTATTTATTTATTTATTTATTTATTTATATTTCAATTTACAAGTATTAACTATTTAATAATTTTTAATTTTAATTTTATTTTTCATTATTTTATTATTAATTATTTAATTTTCAATAAACTTCACTAATTAAGATTCAAAATAATATCATTATACCAGGGATTTTAAAATATTAAAAATTAAAAATGAACTAACTATTAGTAAAACTATACTGATTACAACATATTATTACATATTAACAATTGACATAACTCACGTAAGAACATATTTAAAAACAACAATAACAATGAGCAAAAATTTTGATGATAAAAAAAATAATCCCTATTGATTTTAACCATTTTCAAATATTCAATAATATTTAAATAATACCTGTATTTCAAATCCTATGCTATAAATGATTTTTATAATAATATAACTGGATTATATTATATAACCTAGAATTTTAAAAATATTGAAATTTGTAAAAAAAAATGTTATCATAATAAATAAAATATTTAAAAACTTTATTTTTATAATAAGAATATTTATTGTACATTTTTATACTGGAAACATTTTCAATTGTATAAAAAATTTGTTTTTCAAACAATAATCACAAATAAAACGAATAATAAAAATTGAACACTGATAGCGATAAAAGCGCGAAATACATTGATAAAATTGATAAATGTTCGAAAAACCAAAGATAAAGCTGAATATGTTACAAAGTCTTTTTTACAAAAAAGGTGACGTGATACAATCTGGCAATATGATAAAATAAACATAAAACGTTTCAAATTTTTATTTTTCATTACTCACGAAGAAATTTAATGTGTGTTGTATTAATATTTAAAAAAAACTATATTTTTTGAAAATTGAATTCTTGCTTATTTTCTTTTTCAAATTATTTAAGATTAATAAAGCATAATGTTTGATGATTTGTCAATTTGGAAATGGCATATGGTAATACACAAAAATCATTGAAGACTAGTATATTATATTATTTTTATACTTATACATATAATTAAAATAAATATATTTTATTAATTTTTCATGATTAATATAATTAATATTTTTATAATTAAATATGGGTTAAATCAAATACAATAATAAAGTAGTTAAAATCATATTCATTTCCTTATTAATTTTTGTATATTTAGAATAAAATTGAATCGTTTAAAATTTATTTATAAATTGTTTTTTATTTTAGGACTTTGTTGGACAAAAACATGCTGAATATTTGTTTAGAATCATTATTACCACGTGCGGAGTAAGTTTTTATTATTTAAAAAAGAATAAATAATTATTTAGTTTCTAACATTTTCATTATTTGTATTTCATATAGTTTGTTGGTTTCATTTTGGGTTACATTAAAGAGCAATTTTCAATAACAATTGGTCTAACATTAATTGGATTTTTTATCTCTGCTTTAGTAAGTAAATTATTTATAAATTAAATATTTCTTTTTTATAGATACCTCTAATTTTATTGTTGTTAAATATTACTTTAATGTATTTTACATTTATAACAACTCATTATCGAAAATATTTAAGCATTTAAAACTATTCAAAATTATGTATGTTATTTAATCTTTAAAAGATGGGTAGTACATTTTTTGTTGTTTTTATGAAGTTATTATTGAAAAACATATTGTGTTTCAACACATTATGAAAGAAAAGGAGAAATAAAAAAAAGTAAATTAGTGGGGATATATGAACTAGATATGGAATTGGTTGGTTATCTTCCTCCTTATTTAAGAGATTCAATGTTAAAAACGATTTGATAGCTGATCAATGCAACTGAGTAGTCTTGGAAGATAAATAAATATATTTGGTTCATTTGACTACCCGTGTTTGTTGTTGGTCTCCAAATGTAAATGAGCCAGGTACTAATAATTTTTACATTAATAGTGTGAGGTTGAAATGAAGTGAAACAAATAGAAGATTTGATAAACTGATGATGAACACAGAGCATACATGCAACAGAGCTAATTTGTTTTAGATAGTAAAACACTGACAGTCTGACATACAATCATGACTTGCAACGAAGAGCTTCTTGAAAGATCTGATGAACCGGTTGTGTAGAAGAATAAGCAGGATAATAATTTGACTAATGGCAGTCTCTTTTGATTATTGACATATATAAAATCACAATGGTATACCATTAGATTTGGGCCTTATTATTTTGTTTGTTTTCTGTGCATGTGTTATAAAAGCAGATAATTATTAATTTTTAAAATTTAAACATTTTAAATGATGTAAATTATTACAACATAGTATAATAGTTATGTGTTTTTTTGGTACTGAATTAATGACTTTTTCCTGCATTAATATTTGATTGAATCAAATCAATGAGTAATATTTAACATTTGAATAAACAAGAGAAGAATGGTGGGTTTTTAATGTCACTGAATTATTGAAATAATGACGTCCTATTAATAAAACATAGATTGCGCATTACATTACTTTTGATGATTTTATTTGATTGGAGAAATTTAGTTAATAGTATTATTGTCCTGTTTAAGATAAAAAATATTTGTATTCATTTTTATTTAAAATATAAAATATAAACAATATTATACATTTATAATTTTGAATCATTTAATGTATGTACATTTGTTTTAGAAATTAATATAATTTCAACATTAATTTTCAGTTGACTATTCCACCATGGCCTATGTATGCTCGTAATCCACTTAAATGGCAAAAAGTGAAAAAGGTTAAGAAAATCGAACATAACCTTACCTATGATGAATATAAAGAGGATAAAAAAAAAGAAAAAAAGAAGTCAAAATAAACAAGTTTATTATATATTGTTTTGATTTCATCATTTAATTATTTCCTATTACGTTATAAATTTTATTTGAAATAAAAAAAATTAAATATTTAACTATAGTTATATTAATTTATTTGAAATGTATGTACTATATTATTTATTGTAAATTATAAAAGAAAAATTTATTTTAATTCAAATGTTTCATTTCAATTTTAAAACTTGTTCATATATAATTATAATCTTATATATCTTCTGATTTGAAGTATGAAATTATTTTATTATTATTATCAATTCTAATGCTCATCTTCAAAATTGACCGAGCAAGATTTAAAACCTTGATTTATGGAAATAAAATTAATTCGATTTTATCGAAAATACAGTCACCAGAAACAGAAAATGCCTAGTTTTCAGTTCTTCAAATAAGTAATTAAAAAGAGAAAATACAGTGATGAATATGTGAAATATGGATAAGTATGGATTTTCGCATACAGGAGATTTTGACTATCCAAATCCAACGGTTAAAGTGGTGGGAGGCGTCCCCCTTCTTATTTATAGTATGATTATGCGTCCTCTTAATTAAAGTTACAAAAGTCCGAGTGGACGCTTAATGGCATTGGTCACTAAAATACAATATTGAATGTAAAATACTTATTATAATATTACAATAATACATGAAATTTATTTTCTTGATTAATTTGAACAAGTGGAAAAAATTTCGAAGAAATAATATGTAGGTATAATAAATATAATGATATTATTAGGTATAATAATAATAATATAACGATAAGCAAAAATTATAGATAATGTACACCATGGGTTAATTTAATTGACGCTGTGTATAATTATAGATGATCCTTAAGCGGTTATTACACACAGCTCTAAAATTAAAGTGATAGTGATATCGACTATTATTTGGAATAAATATAAACAGAATAGAATAACCATAAATAGTATAAATAATAAATTGTGATAGAGGATAGACACAGTGGCGCAACTAGAGCTAAAATTTTGGGGGGGCTGTAGCCCCATCTAATATTATATGAAATGTAACCCGTGGGGGCGTGCCCCCACACCCCCATATACATCCACTTAAAAATATAAAACATACAAACAAAAAAAAAAAACAAATATTTATTTACTCACGTTTCATTTTTGTTAATAAATAGTTTTAATATTTTATGGATTTTAATTTCAATATCTTTTTCAATATGAAGTATTGATACATTACTGAACCGATCTTGGTTCATTGTGGAACATAAATATGTGTTTATCTACAATAATAATATAATGTCTGTATATTATAGGTTCAGTACATACTGAAAAATATACTGTAAAATGTTATGTAAAACAATTAACAATCGTATCAATGTATCGATAAACATCGTTTCAAACAAATATAGGCAAATGATATTTAGTATTTACCATATTTTATCATAGGCAATATAAAATAATTTTACAATTTGGAAAAAATTTAATTTATTAATTTTTTTTCTAAAAACAATAAGAATTACAGTTAAATTTTAAAAAGTTTATTAATATTAAACGAAACAATTGAATAATTTATTTTGGAGGGCTATAACAAATTTAGGGGACTAGGCCCCCCCTAATTGCGCTTATGGATAGACACTATCTTATATGTATCTTATAGATAGTACACACCTTATATGCAATGTATGTATTTATTACTGTCTACATTGACCAACAACTAACAAGGTTAGTAATTGTTTCCTTTTAGTTTTGTTAAGTTTAACAATTATTAATATTTAACAATTATATTTGTTAAAATTAACAAATATAATCGTTATTTTGTTTTTCGTTGCACAGATAAATAACTGCTATAAATAGATATTATTTTATAAAACTGTTTTACCAATTTACAGTTTACTTTTACATTACAGTAAATTAATAGTTATTGGAATATAAAAACATAACTTTTCAAACACCTATCAATATAATTATTTAATTATCATAATATTTGTATAGTTGTATATTTTAAGTTCAAAGCGTAATAATGAAACTACGAATTTATTACATGTCATCAATAATAAAACAAATTTTTTTTTTTTTTTGACCCTGGGAGAGTTTGAACCCGGACCCCCCTCCCCCCATATGTACGCCACTGCGCACACGTATCCTGAAGTCTCCACTACCACTTAAATGTGCACAGAGACGTGACCAATGAAATGCGTATGAGCGCGTGCTGCGGGTTCTTTACCCTCGAATGTGTGTAAATGTGAGTTGGAGAAGAAGTTGTTTCAAGTTCTATACAGTGCCGGATTAAGGGCCGATGCCGCCTTGGAGCAAATAATGTTTGCCCCTCCCCTCCCCCTCAAAAAAATAAGGTTTAAGTGAGATCGAAAAAAAAAATCCTGGTTTTCATGTATAAATTAAAAAATAAAATACCACTTATAAATATATATTATAAAATATAGGTACCTAATATAATAATCAATCTACTTAAACTAAAAAGTATAAATAAGTATATGTTAAATGACACAGAATAATTTTGCAAAGAATTTTTTTAAACTAATGGAAAATACTGACAAAATACAATTATAATATTAATAAATTGGTTCAAAATATATAGATAATAATTAAAGTAATTTTTAATATTAACGCCAATTAAAAAAAAAAAAAAAAACTATTACTATATAACTATGTATATATTATAAATTTTTTATTTTTTTTTAATTATATTTTTTTATGGATTTAATAGTTACAAGTTTTTATGCTAGTTCTTATCACTTCATTTCCTCAACCAAATCAGATTCTATGCATAAAATTGATAAATTGGACATTGTTTCTTGTATTAATGACGATTTTAAATAATTTTTTTGAAGCTATTTTATTTATGCTGCCCCACTAAATTTGCCGCCCTGGAGCAAATGCTTCTTTTGCACTTAGGTTAATCCGGCCCTGGTCCTATAAAGACAATTAAATACGAATATGATTTTTATAATTTCCTAATCAGTAAGAATAAGTGAACGCTAAATGATTATTTTGCATACACGTTACGAATAAACTTATAATGATCATCATAATTATCTTATGAGATTATTTGGTTAAGCTGTAATGTATTAGATCAGGGGTCACCAAATGGCGGCCCGCGAATGCATTTTAACCGGCTCGCAGACTGAGAAAAAAATCCAATAATTTAATATGTACTTATTATCAAGCGCGACTGTTGCAGTCGAAATGTTGCAGGTAATTTCTTATCTTTGTACATTATTAGGTTTTTTCAGCTGCAACAAATATTATACTAGCTGTGAAGAATATCTTCAGTCAATATCAACACGTTAGTCCGTCAGTTATCGGTGAGACGGTGGTGTCTGCTGCAACGCAATTTTTGTTCGTCCGTTCCGTTTTATTTATTATTTTTCGTAATTAAATAATATATTATTCTTTGTTTTAATTTGACTATGGATAGAAAAAGAAGAAAAATAAAAAATTAAAATAGACAGTTTTGTCCTGAATGGATGGACTTATATTGTTTTATTTTACTAGATAGAGTAGGTGCCTTACCTGTTTGTTTAATTTGTAATCAAACAGTGGCTGTTATAAAAGTATTTAATATCAAACGTCATTATGAGACACACAAGTCATTTGCCGAAAAATTCCCATTGGGTACTGGCCTTCGTAAAATAAAAATTGAAAATCTAAAAATGAAATATAAATCGGCAACTCAAATTTTGAGCCATGCAATGACTGAATAACAGAAATGTGCACAGGCATCTTTACAAATTTCGTGGATACTCGGTAAACATATGAAGCCATTTACAGATGCTGATATTGTTAAAGAATGTATGCTTCAATCTGTAAATGTTCTCTTTGAAAATAAAAAGGAAATTGTTGAAACTTTTCGTCATATCCCAATATCAGCATCCACTAACACGAGAAATACTGAAGTACTGGCCAAAGATAATCACAATCAGTTGAAACAAGATCCATCTACTGCTGATTTTTATTCTATAGCCTTGGATGAATCTTGTGATATAACAAATATATCTCAGCTAATAATTTACGTGAGATACTTGAGCAATATCAGTGGGACATTTTACAAAGAGTTATTGACACTTTTGCTGTTATCAGGGACCAGCAAAGGAAATGATTTGTATAATACTGTAGTATTGTATTTTGAAACAGAAAATTTAAATTTAAAAAAATTATCTCTGTTACAACCGATGGTGCACCAGCGATGATTGGCGCTCATCAAGGCTTTGTTCAAAGATTAAGAAATGACCCTAAATGCAACTCTGATCTTTTATCGTACCATTGTATCATTCATCAAAGCGTCCTATGCTGCAAACTGGATCCGTGTTTGGAAAAAATTATGAAAACAGTAATGAGTATTGTTCATTTTATACGTGCAAAATCTTCACTCCAGCACAGACTATTTAAGACACTTATTCAAGAAAATGATACTCAGTTTGACAATTTATTACTTCATAATAATGTGAGATTGCTGAGCAAAGGAAATGTTTTGCAAAGGTTTTTTAACTTACTGAATGAAATTGAACTATTTTTAATTTAGAGTAGGTACATATTTGTCTGCCAAAGACTATCACGAATTTATCAGCGATAACAGTAACATAGCAACTATTGCGTTTTTGACAGATATATTTCAACACATAAATTTATTCAACTTGAAACTTCAAGGTAATCAGAAAATAATTTGCCATTTAGTATCTGAGGTAAATTTTTTTTGTAGAAAAATTGACTTTTTTTTACAAGATGTTGGTAATGAACGTTTACATTTTCCTAACTTGAAAAAAGTTGTTGATGAAAATCACGAGATTGATATCACAAAATTTACGAAGTTTTTTGGAAAGTTTAAAAACTGAATTCGAAAGACGCTTTGCTGATTTCAAAAAAATCAAAAAACGTTGTACAACTATTGAACAGTAGTTTTACTCTGCAGCTTGATAGTGAATGGATTAACGATATCTAATAATTAGATGGACGCAATATAGAGATTAAAATGGGTTCTTCGATCGTCATCTATCAACGAATAACATTGTGGTTTTTTTCACAATTTTCATTTGTGTTTTCCGTTAGTAGACATTATTCAGAAACATTTGGTAGATAATAATACGACAAAGGTCTTATATATTGGTTGTGTGATGCGATCACTATAGAGCACTTGCATCAATCATGTTTCACCTGAGTAAAATCTATTATCTTTAATCTCTTTAGAGCTTATCTATTACGAAAATAAAATACTAATTTAATATAATAATAACAATAATATGTTGTTGGCTACATATCTAATACATAATGTAATTAAATATATACTTTTTTCGCCGTAGTTATGGTTTGTTTATTTTTGATTTTATTCCCTGCATATTGTTATTGTGATCACTCACATCATTAACTTCTAAAGTTATCCGTATTTGTATTAATTATATATAAATATTATTCAGCATATAAATATTTTCTCATTTAAAAATAAGTACACTATTATTTTAATTAAATTGTAATTTTAGACACGAAAGTGCTTTTTCCCACTTCTATAACATTGAATCAGATGTTCCTCAAAGAAATAATCTTTCACTGGATTTATATAATATTTTAACTGTGGATATCCCTAAAACTAACATCACTACTACATTTTCCGACGACACAGCTATCTTGTCAACTAATAATGACATCAATTTAGCAGCATATTATCTTCAAGACCATTTAAAGTTCATTATATCCGGTGCGAAAACTGTATAATTATAATTAACGAAAACAAATCCCCCCCCCCCATATCGCATTCGCACTTTGATCTGGTAATTGTCCAGCAATAAAACAAAAAAACAAAATCATACCTGTCCACAGGACGGACTGGGACCCAAATGGCCCAATGTTCTACAAAAAAAAATTGGACCCTAGTGAAAACCATAAGCACCACTAGCGTACAAAAACATTTTACCTCTTCATTATTTTTAGTTTTCAAATCATCAATTAAATAAAATATATTTATATTTTTGGTTATACTGTGATTTAAGTTTGATCCTCCTTAAAATGTAATATAAATTAACTGTAAAATTAAAATTTTTATTTTTATTAATGTACCCAAAAATATTTTATAATAATAGTTTTTATATTGAATAATTAAATATAATTTAAACTAATTTTTTTTATTTTTAAATCATTGTTTAATAATTTGAATACAAAGATTATTTATATAAATAAAATAAAATACTTACAAACAAATTATCAAATAATATTTAACTTAATAGTTCATACATAAAATATCTAGTAAACAAATTCAAAAAGTAACTATTTATTAATGAACAATGTTAACATATAATAATTATAACATAAATATTATATTAATTCAAATTATCTAAATTTATCCAAAAGTAACAAGATCTTAAGTACTGTTATCAGGGCCGTTCAGAAGGGGAAGGCAACGGGTACATTGTGCTCCAGGCCCACGGAATATTTTTTTTTATGGTTAAAGTTTTGATGTATAATAATTAATAATGACGAGTTGTCATCGACCGGATTCTTGGTTTTTTAATATAATTAGACAAACTTATGAAGGATTTTATGAAGAAAATTATCATTTTATGAAGATATTTTTATGAATTCTCAACTCAAAATAATATGCTAATTTTCGTGTTTTTTCAGTATTTTGTCAAAATTTGATCTTTAAATGCTTATAAAAATAACGGTGACTAAGGATTTTTAATATTTTTCATCTGCCTTTGAAACAATACACTAGGAGCCTTCTATCAAAGTTTCAAGCTTTTTT